ATTGTAAGATTCTTATACTATATATGAAGTGGTACAATAGCATTATAAGGCAGATTGTGATAAATTAAATATGTATTATAAACTCTAGAGCAAACACTAACAATATGAAGAATTACGTCTAATAAGCTCACAAAGGAGATACAATGGAATCATAAAAAGCCTTCAATTCAAAGGAAGACAGAAAAAGAGGAAAAGGGAAGAAAGGACAGAAGGAAAAAATAGAAAACAAGTAGCAAGATAATAAATAGACTTAAATGCAACCATATCAATAATCACATTAAATGTAAATGGTCTAAACACCTCAATGAGAAGATAGTCTCAGAATGGATAAGAAAGCAAGACTCGACTATATGTTGTTTATTGGAAGCACACTTCAAATGTAAAGACACAAATGGGTTAAAAGTAAAAGAATGAAAAAACATATGCCATGCTAACACTAACTGAAAGAAATTTGGGGTGGCTATATTAATACCAGACAAAATAGATTTCACATTAAAATATAATAACAGGGATTATCATTATGAAATAAGTATTCTAAACGTTTATTCACCCAACAACAAAGATTCAAAATATATGAAGCAAAAGCTTATAGAACTGCCAAGAATAAATAGACAAATCTACAATAATGGGTGGAGATTTCAATGCTCCTTTATCGATGGTTCAGTAGGCTTTGTTGGGGCTGAGATTCTGCATTTCAAACAAGCCCCCAGATGATGCCAGTGTTGCATCTAGCAACATTAGTAAGATGCTAGAAGATAAGTTGGAAGAAAATGTCCACAGTGAACTGCAGAAAAAAGAGGGAATGCAATAGAAAGGGTAAGATATAGTGACAAGGTTCAGCATATATGTAATTACTTGAAGATATAATAATAGCTAAGAATTTGTTAAAAGACATCAAGCTGTAGATTCATGAAGACTAAAACCTTCAAGTAGGGTAAATACAAAGAAAATCACACCCTCAAATATATATGCATATGATATGTTAATATATACACCCTCAAATAGATAATAAGTTAATAATAAAAAAAAATAAGTTAATACATATTATATATTCTGTTAATATATATGTTAAAAACTGTTGAAAACTAAAGGCAAAGAGATCTTAAAAGCAGCTGTAGAAGACAATAAGGATTACTTTCAAAGGGGTGACAGTTGGACTGAAGGTTGACTTGTCAATAGACAAAAATAGAAATGCATAAATCCTCATCCATAGTGGGAGATATTAGGATATCTCTTAGTATCTATGTAACAGAACAAGCATAAAAAACCAAGAAAGATATAACAATAGGACTGTTGATACACTTGATTTAATTTGTCTTATAAAAACCCTATACTCAACAGCTGCAGAATAAACATTCTTTTCAAGCATACTTAGAATATTTTTAAAAATTAACCATATACTGAGCCATAAATTTCAAAGAATTGATTTAAAAAAATTTTTTTAAATGTTCATTTATTTTTGAGAGAGAGAGAGTGTGAGCTGGGGCGGGGGGATGGGGTGTGAGAGAGAGGGAGGCAGAACCTGAAGCAGGCTCCAGTCTCCGAGCTGTTAGCACAGAGCCCCATGTAGGGCTCGAACCTGCAAGATCATGCCCTGAGCTGATGTCGTATACTTAACTAACTAAGCCACCCAGGTGCCCCTCAAAGGATTGATTTCATATAGCATCTGTTTTCTTTCAACATTACAATTAAGCTAGACATGAGTTTTTGAAAAGATAACAGGAAAAATCCCTACATTTTTAGAAATTTAATTATTCATGTCATGCTAATATTCTCTCTATACATATCTCTAAGATCTATGGTAACATCCCCTTGTTCATTCTTGAAAGCACTTATTTGTAACTTTCTTCCTTTTTATCTTGTTAGGAGTTTATTTTATTAGCCTTTTCAAAGAATAACTTTTGCCTTTGTTGATTTTCTTTACTGTATTCTGATTCTGTATTTCATTAATTTCTACTCTTAAATTGTTTCTTTCTTTCTCCTTTCCTTTGATTTAATTTTTTCTAACTTCCTGAGGTGGATGCTTGGTTCATTGATTTTTTTCGGCTTTCTTTTTCTTTAACATATGCATTTAAAGCAAAAATTTCCTTTAAATATAGTTTGAGGTATACCTAATTACATTGGTGTGTAGTGTTTTCATTCATTAATCAAATTATTCTGTAATTTGCATTGTAGTTCATTCTATGACTCCTAGGTTATTAATTTTCAAACATATAGGAATTTTCTAGTTTTATTCTTACTGCTTTTTAGCCTGATTACATTATGATTAGAAAACATCTTCTATGATTTCAGACATCAAATGATATCAGTTGACACTTGCTTTAAATGTATTCTTTAGTTGAATGCAGTGTTCTATACCCTTTCCTTAAGAAAGGGTTGTTATTGTGTGGTTCAAATCTGTACATTCACTGATTATTTTTTGTCTGCCTTTTTTGACACTTATAAGTGTGTTAAAATCTATCATGATTGTCAATTTGTCTATTTCCCCTTAGAGTCCCTTCAAAGTCTGTGTTATATATTCTGAGTCTATTATTAGTTTCATGCAAATTTAGAATTATTTCCTCTGCCCCATTAATTGAACTCTGTATCATCATGAATTTTTCATATTTATCTATGGTAATGCTTTTTGCCTTAATGTATCCTTTGTTGATCTACTAATATTAACATAGCCATACATCTTTCTTTTGGTTAATATTTGTAGGGTATATCTTTTTCCATCCTTTTATTTTCAACTTTCTTGTCTCCTTACATTTTAGACGTAACTCTTGTAAATAACATACAGTTGGTTTAAAAAAATTCAGCGCTTCTTTGTCTTTTTCTAAAAAATGTTTGTTTGAGAAAGAGAGAGTGAGAGAGCACGCACACATGAACCCAGGAGGGGCAGAGAGAGAGAGGGAGAGAGAGAGAATACCAAGCAGGCTCCATGCTCAGCATGGAGCTTGACGTGGGGCTTGACCTCACAATGGCAAGACCATGACCTGAGCTGAAATTAAGAGTTGGATACTTAACCAACTGAGCCACTCAGGTGCCCCAACTGCTTTGTCTTTGAATTATTTGTCTTTCAGTTGTCTTTTTAAAAAATGTTTATTTTTGAGAGAGAGAGAGAGCAAACAAGGAGGAGGGGCAGAGAGAGAAGGAGACAGAGGATCCAAAGTGGGCTCTGGGCTGACAGCAGAGAGCCTGATGTGGGGCTCGAACTCACGAACCATGAGATCATGACCTGAACAGAAGTTGGGACGCTTAACTGACTGAGCCACCCAGGTGCCTTCTGTCTTTTAAATGTTGGAGAACTTAATCTATTTATATTATTTCCATTACTGATGCATCAGGGCTTAAGTCTACCATCTTACTCAATACTTTGTATGTCTCCTGCATGGTCTGTATTTCACTTCTCTCATTTCGGGCTTTGTTTTCTATGATTGCATTTCTTCCTCAATTAGCCTAAATGTTATACACTCTTTTAAACAATTTTAAAGTGCTTTATCTTTTGCTATTTACAGCAAATATATACATGTTTACTTATAATATGTATGCTTGATTTATATAATTCTATAATATATATAGGTAATAATTTAATTAGTACCTTTATCTCCTCCCAGAAAAATACAAAAATCATAGAACTCTTTAACTCTTTTTACTGGCTTAAAGGCCACTGTTGCCTAACATTTTAATTCTCTCTCTCTAAAATACAATTCCCATAATACATTATTATTATTATTATTATTATTATTATTATGTTTAATACAGCCAATATTCATTTTTATTTAACCACATGTATATTGCTTTTTCTTCCTTTCTGTACCTTCAGACCTCCATTTGGGACTATTTTCCTTTTGTCTGAAAAATATTCTTTAATATATCCTTTAGTGTAACTCTACTGATAGTCAATTCTTTTTGTTTGTATGAGACTGTTCCATTTCACCTTTATTTTTGAAGATCAGTTTGCTGAATATAGACTTCTAGCCTGATAGTCATTTTCTTCTAGAATTTTAAAGATATTATTTCACTGTCTTTTGGCTTCATTGTTTTTGTTGAGAAGTCATCTATCAGTCTAACCATTGCTTCTTTAAAGCAATCTGTCTTTTCTTTGCCTAGTTTAAAAATTTTTTCTTTGTCTTTGGTTTAGTAGTTTTATTATGATGGGTTTAATTTGGACTTCTTTTTTAAATTAATTAATTAATTAATTGTTTTTAGAAGGAGAGAGACCATGAGTGGGGGAGAGGGGTAGAGGGAGGGAGGGAGGGAGGGAGGGAGAGAGAGAGAGAGAGAGAGAGAGAGAGAGAGAGAGAGAATCTTAAGCAGGCTTCACACTCAGCACAGAGCCTGATATGGGGCTTGATCCCATAACCCTGGGGTCATGACCTGAGCCAAAATCAAGATGTCCAACCAACTGAGCTACTCAGGTGCCCCTGGTATTGATTTCTTTGTATTTATCTTTTTTGGTATTCTTATGCCTTCTTGAGTTGATGGATTGATGTTTTTAAATTTTTTTGATAAATTCTTAGTCACTGTTACCATTCTCTCTTATTCTTGGATTTCAATTACTGGTATGTTAGATCTCCTTTCTGTGTCTTCTATGTTTTTTACCTTCTCTTCAAATTTTTCCAAACTGCTATCTTTCCTGCTTAAGTATGAATATTTTCTTCTGCTTTATCTGCCAGTTCATTAATTCTTTCTTTATCTGTGCATAGACTGCTGAATAATCCATCTTCTGAGTTCTTAATTCAGATTATTTTATTTTTCAACTCATGTATTTCCTTAAAGTTTTTTTAATGTTTATTTAGTTTTGAGAGAGAGAGAGAGAGAGAGAGCAGGGGAGGGGCAGAGAGAGAGGGAGACACAGAATCTGAAGCAGGCTCCAGGCTCTGACCTATCAGCACAGAGCCTGACGCGTGGCTCGAACTCATGAACCTCAAGATCATAACCTGAGCGGAAGTCAGACACTTAACCGACTGAGTCACCCAGGCAACCCTTAAATTTCTTTTTTATTTTGTTTCTAGGTCACTGCTGACATTCTCAAATCTTATCTTCACCTGCTTGAACATAGTAAGTATAGTTATTTTGGAGCTTTGGTGTCTGGAGCTTCTGTGTCTGTTTCTATTATTATTTCTATTAATTTTCATTGTCTTAGTTTTTTTATGGTCTGGTTATTTTTATTGTGTTTTGGACATTGTATGTGCAATATTGTTTGTAGAAAGTTTTGAGGACTAGGATCATGTTAGTTTACTCCAGAATAGATTAGTTTTTTACTTCTGCCAGATAGCTGGGGATACTAGCCATTCAGGACCACTTTAGTAAAATTTCAGGGATTGAGAGGATGTATAGCTGTATAGAAGTCCTTGCTGGACTCTACCTACGGCTCGTACTTACACCCGGAACAGAGACTTTTGTGGTGTAAAACCAAATTGTTGGAGGCTCACTAGTCTTCTATGTGCTTGCCAGGCCTGGACATCAATCCCTCTCACCCTCAAACCTGTCAAAATGATAGCCTAATCTCTTGGCTTCTCAGTTTTCCCACCTCAGAACTGGCAAATGTCTCCCGGAGGAAAGTGGCCCCAAATGCCATGCTTTACTCCCAGGGTCTTCATCCTTTCCTAGATCCTGGCCTGGCAATTCATTATTATCATGGTTAAGCTCTTTGGTGCTTGCTAGCAGATTTTATTTTACTTTTCTAGATTCTCCCATTTCTTTTGCGGTAGGGTTAGTGGGAACTAGTCTACCATTACTTGAAACGGAAGTGTTTTGCTTTATTCTTTTCCTTCAAAATGGACTTTTCTTGAAAAAAAGAAAAGTAAATCTCTACTTCATACACAATAGTATATTCAACATGAATTAAAGGCCAAAATAAGAAAAGTAAAGCTTTATGACTTTTAGTAGAAAATCAAGGACTTTATCCTGATATGCTTAAGACAGAAGTACCCAGAAAGCATACCTAAGGGAAATAATTGCTGAATTAGATAAAAAGAAAATACAAAGTTTATAAGAACAAAAGTTGGGGCGCCTGGGTGGCGCAGTCGGTTAAGCGTCCGACTTCAGCCAGGTCACGATCTCGCGGTCCGTGGGTTCGAGCCCCGCGTCAGGCTCTGGGCTGATGGCTCAGAGCCTGGAGCCTGTTTCCGATTCTGTGTCTCCCTCTCTCTCTGCCCCTCCCCCATTCATGCTCTCTCTCCCACAAATAAATAAAAACGTTGAAAAAAAAATTAAAAAAAAAAAAGAACAAAAGTTGACAAAACTAAGGTTAAAATTCAAGTCCATTTCAAAAATTATTTTTAAACCTTCATAACTGGCCAAAGATTTGTATCCAGAATAAATTTTTTAAAAAATAAACCCAACAAGAAAAAAATAGCAAAAGATACAATGATCCCAAAGAGGATGCTTTCGTGACTGATAAGCATTGAAAAGATGCTTACCTCACCAATAATCAGGGAATTCAAAACTAAAGCAGTGAAATGTTTCATGTCCATCATAGTATAAAAAAAAAAATCTGTCAAGTGTTTGAAACATATTGGAGAGACAGGAAGTCACCCCAAAAACCAGACTACAAATGAGAATGGCCCATTGTTCTTTAAACCATCTAAAGCCGCTGTACTTTAGATGTCAATATCTATTGAAAATTGAATAATACTCCTTTTGATTCAACCATCCCAAAACTAGTTATAAACCCTTGAGGTATTAAACAGTGCATAAGGAGACTTATATCAGGGGCTTTGTTGTGTACCATTAGTGGTGATAAAAAAATGGGAAATAACATATGTGCCCATCAATAGGAAAATGGGTTTAAAACATATATTTTAGGGGTGCCTGGGTGGCTCAGTCAGTTAAGTGTCCAACTCTTGATTTCAGCTTAGGTCATGATCTCACGGTTCATGAGTTTGAGCTCTACATCAGGCTCTGTGCTAACAGTGTGGAGCCTGCTTGGGATTCTCTCTGTCTCCCTCTCTCTCTGCTCCTCCTCTGCTCTCTTTCTCTCTCTCTCTCTCTCTCTCTCAAAACATAAACAAACTAGGGTGCCTGGGTGGCTCAGTTGGTTAAGCATCCAACTTTGGCTCAGGTCATGATCTCACGGCCAGTGGGTTCGAGCCCTGCATCAGGTTCTGTGCTGACAGCTCAGAGCCTGGAGCCTGCTTCAGATCCTGTGTCTCCCTCTCTCTCTCTGCCCCTTCCCTGCTCACCCTCTGTCTCTCTCTCTCTCTTAAAAATAAATCTTAAAAATTTTTTCTTTAAACATAAACTAATAAAATTTTTTTTTTAATTTTTTTTCCCAACGTTTATTTATTTTTGGGACAGAGAGAGACAGAGCATGAACGGGGGAGGGGCAGAGAGAGAGGGAGACACAGAATCGGAAACAGGCTCCAGGCTCTGAGCCATCAGCCCAGAGCCCGACGCGGGGCTCGAACTCACGGACCGCGAGATCGTGGCCTGGCTGAAGTAGGACGCTTAACCGACTGCGCCACCCAGGCGCCCCTAAAATTTTTTTTAAAAAACAGGTATTTTATATACTAGATTAGTACAAAGCAGTTAAAATTATTGATTGAACTGTGTCTGTGTACATCAACATGGATACATTTTGAGACTGTATTAATGAGGAGAGGAACATGTTGAATGGCAATGTGTACAGTATGACAAAATGCAAAGTTTGAAAGCAAGGAAAATGGGGGCATCCGGTTAAGCATCTGGCTCTTTATTTCGACTCAGGTCATGATCTTGCAGTTGGTGGGATCAAGCCCCGCATCAGGCCCCATGCTGACAGCTCAAAACCTGCTTGGGATTCTTTCTCCCTTTCTCTCTGCCCCTCACCTGCACACACCCCCCCCTCCCCCCCCATCAAAATAATAAATAAACTTAAAAAAAAAGTAAGGAAAATAGTACTCTAAATTCCTTAAAGATATATACAGAAGTTGTAAAGATGTAACAACAGAAAGAGCAGAAAGGATTCACACCAACTTGCAGTTATCTCTAAGGGAAAAAGCGGAGGTTGGGGATGGAGAAAGACAATGGAGACTTCACCTCTGGTGGCAACGTTTTATTTCCTACACAACAAAAACAAAAGACAAAGAACTTGAAACAAATATGGCATAATGTTAAGATTTTCTTTCTTTTTAAGTTTATTTATTTTTGAGTGAGAGAGGGAGAGCGCACGCACTAGCAGGGGAGGGGCAGAGAGAGAGGGAGAGAAAGAGAGAATCCTAAGCAGGCTTGTCGCTGACAGTGCGGAGATCATGACATATCGTGAGATAATGGCCTGAGCCAAAACCAGGAGCTGGATGCTTAACCAGCTGAGGGAAATGACATCCCCCATTCCTACTCTACCTCTTTTCTCTAAAGATTTTTTTGGCTCAGTGGAAGCAAAGAGTTGATAAGATCTTTGCATATCAGAGATAGTAGCAGCAGACAAAAAATGTTCACCCTATAAGACAGAAGCAAATGAAAATCTCAACTGAATATTCATCAAATCTCTGGAGAAGGGAGGCTTTTCTAAGCGAAGAGTGGTAGAATTATTACACTGAAACATTTTTCTTGGATTTGACTGCATATGTTTTTCCCCTTTCCCTGTTTTATCCACCAAGTTCTTATCTACCAAGTCCCCTCCATTTCTACCGCTAACAGGCCACTGTCGTCTCCCCCAAAACCACAGCAGGGAACTAAACGCAACAACAGTATAACAAATGTATAAATCTGAGACTTCAACATAAACAGATTTTACTCTGGTTGAGATGGGGAACCACTACAGTTTGACCAGTGGAAGGATTACGATCTGACTTAATTGATCACAAATCCGGTCAAGCTGCATTGACAATAACCATCGAGTCCCAGGCAGAAGTCTGATTAGGGCCATTGCAATAATCCTGGGAGAGTAGATGACTGTCTGCACCAGGAGACAGCGGTAGAGGGAAAGAGAGAGGTGGTTGGACTCTGAATGTATTTTGAAGACTGAGCTGACAATGTGTTGATGAACTGAACTGGTTGTGGAGTTTGAGATAAAAGAATGAAGAGTGATTTCAAGCTTTCTCACTTGAGCGCCAGAACTAATAGAGCTGTGTTGAACTGAGATGGGGAATATCGTGGGCAGGACAGGTTAGGGAAAGAATTTCAGGAGTTAGCTTTGGATGTGTTAATTTTGACTGGATTTTAGACATGCAAGTGGAGATGTGGAATAGGCGTATAGTGTTTATATAACGGGAAGAAGGAATATGTGGAAAGTCAGAGAAGCAGTAAAGAGTTTAAGTAAACAGTAAAAACAGTAAAAGTTTAAAATGTTTGCACGGAGATGAGGCCCTGCTGACCTGAGTCTTGGGTCGGATAGCCATAGTATAGAGCAGATGCCAGTGCCCCTGGATTTCAGCCACTGTAGTTGGCTTTGACTGTTACAGATCAGTGGAACATACCTTTCATGATGCAGTTGATGATGGCTAAAGAATTTTGAACATTTTTTCCAGTTTTTTAAAGATATAATTGACATATAAAATTGCAATGATTTCATATTTGTATATATTGGAAAAGGCTTCTCACACTAAATTTAGTTAACATCTATCACCTCGTATGGTTACAATTTTTTTAAGTAGGCTTCACACCCAGGAGCATGGAGCCCACCATAGGGCTTGAACTCAGGACCCTAAGATCAAGACCTGAGCTGAGATCAAGAGTCTGATCTGATTGAGCCAACCAGGAGCCCCTACAACTTTTTTTTCTTGTGACGAGAACTTTTAAGAACTTAGCAACTTTCAAATATACAATGCAGTATTGTTAACTGTAGTAGCTGTGCTGTGTATTACATCCCCAGGAATTTATTTATCTTATAATTGGAAGTCTATACCCTTTGACGACCTTCACTCATTTTCCCCACTCTCCACCCCCTGCCTCTGGCAACCACCAATCTATTCTCTCTTTTGATGGGTTTGGTTTTATTTAAGATTACACATATAAGTGAGATCATACAGTATTCACCTTTCTCTGTCTGATTTATTTCACCTAGCAGAATGCCCTCAAGGCTATTTATGTTGTTGCAAATGGCAGGATTTCCTTCCTTTTTACGGTTGGATAATAAT